TGGAGCTTCACAATGGGGTGTTGAAACACAGCATCAGAAAATCCCACCTGGAGTTTGTATCCCATCTATTTCCCTAAAAAAAGCCCAGGTAGAACGTTCCAAAATTGTTTGGCTCCTCTCTCCCTGACGTAACACACAGAATGCAGGAAATCTTAGTTTGAAGTTTCATTATGTCTGGTTTTGGTTTTTATGGCATAGATATTTTAATATGCAATTTTTATGTAGACTTTGGGTTTGGTGTGGAGATTTTTATTTGATTTTTTTTGTCATGGTGTGTGTAGATATAACACCCACATCAACAAGAAAATAAAGACAAAAATAAAACCCACAAATCCTCTTTGAGCTTCATGAGGAGCCAAAGCCTGGTAAATCCACTATTGCAACAGGTCAAAGGGGTTTAGGCTATTTCATCATTCCAGAGGAACAGAAGAAGGTTAAGTGAATATTTGGGACCTCTGGCATGAGGATGCAATTCCAAAGGTCCTAATAAATCAGTGGAAGTGGAATGAGTAATTCCTGAGAGAAGCCACCCTTTAAATCAGAGCTGCCTCTTCCCACATGGGATAAGTCCCTGTGGATTCAGCCCATGTAGGGTAATAAAATAAACACTAATTAATCCCTATTGAAGCTGGGTGTATTTCTTTCTTCAGGCCTCCACTTTTGGGCACTGGGATAATGCCCTGATCTGATGAGGTCTCTCTTTTGTCCTCTCCTGCCTGTTTGTTGTTCTGGATACCCCACAGACCATGAACCAAAGCTGATACTGATCCAACAGGTTGTGAAAGGGCAGAAAAGCCTACGTAAGCAAACCCCAGCCCTTCACTGACTGGGATCCAACTGGTGTGCACAGTTCTGCTCCCAAAAGTGGAATTATGAGTCAGAGTGAAAATGAAGGTCATGCAGATCGCTGTGTGCAGCAATTCTTGCAGGCAATATGGGCTTTATTTGCATAATTAGCTTGTTCTTGCTCAACAATCTCCTCACAGGACTGGATTCTGGATGTTTTTGCTGGATTTTTCAGGTGTTATATGCTATTAAAACCCCAAAAAGCAAGGGATAGTACTTTAAAAAATGCCTTTGTTTTTATTTCATGAATACATTTAAACTGAATCTCTTCTAACCCATCACAAATTGGAATAACAGCTCCAGTGGGCACCTTTGTGTCAACACCTTCAATCAATAAACTGGATTAATTGGCACAAAAAGATAGCATGGTGGCTGAGCATGTTATTTTTTAGAATGGAAAAAAAAACCCCACAAAATCAAAATCTCAAATATAAACATATTTACCCTTCTAAGCCTAACCACCCTGCAGATAAAACACACAGGGTAAGTAAGACTTGAGTGGTAAATATTTGTAAGGATGGAATAGTCAGTAGGGAGAGTTCTAGACCATTTCCAGAACCTAAACCATCCCTAAAAGGTGTATTTTCACATCTATTTTTGTGTGTTTTCAGGTGTTACTTCCAAGAGAGAATACAGACCTGTTAGGGAAAAAATATTTTTTTCAGACTAGATTGAGTTTAGTGACCAGACAAATCAGTAAAGATTATTTCACTTGATTTTTCATCATCTATCACCAAGGATAAGAGGATATAAGGAAGATGCATTTATATTTTTCTGAGAAAATAGAAAAATACCCTTGGGAGGCCAAGAGTTTAAGTGAGGAACATCCTCACCATTCCCCAGGTAAGAAGACTTGAAGCAGAGTGAAAGAATTAATATTTTGATGCAAATGTGCCACAATCCATGGAGGAGATGAGGAATTTCCTGAGGGACAAGTTGAACTGAAGGGCCATGGACTGAGATGAAACCTTAGGTACCACATTGCTCTTGTAAGTTTATTTACAAAGGATGCAGGATTGCTTCTCCCAGCTCCATTTTTGAGAGAAAACAGCCATAAATATCCTCTGGAAAGCACAGTCCTGCCTTTAAGAGTGTGATCCAAGCATGCCCATGGGATGAGGTCCCTGAGGGGGACGGCAGCCAGGAAAACCGAGCACGCCCCACCCTCGGGTGGGAGATAAGAGGAAAATTGCTCAGACAGAGGCAGCTCTGTACTTGCAGGGGAGCACAGCTCAGCACTTTGGGCTGAGGAGTAATAGCAGAACACACCTTCTGTGGGCAGCACCTGAGGAAAAGGCATTTTAGGTGGCAAGCTGGAATAAGGTCACCTGTTTTTTTGGAGTTCAGTGTAAATACAACCTCTGTTTCTGGCTGTCTCTTTCTTTATGGACATACAAACTGCAATTTCCTTCAAGTCAGGCTACAAGCTGCCCTCCAAACAATCATTGAAGAGTTTTTAGGCAATAAAACTGAAGGAGTTTTTTTGCAGGGGTGGCTGGTGAGAGGAATCAGTGCCTAAGTGAATAATTTTACACTCAGGAAAAGAGGTGCTGGACTGAGATGCTGCCACACAAAGTGGGAGTTGTTCTCTCCATGTCTAAATCCTCTTCATCAGATTCCACCCAAAGCATCTTATCCAATTGCACCCCTAAATCTGGGGCCTGGGGGAAGAACAAAAAGATACAAAAGAACTTTTTCTCTACCTGGATAAGGGAAACCACTTCCAGCAGCATCTCAGCACAAACTCCAGCAGCCAGGAGGATTCTGCAAAGCATCTCCCTAATTTCCTTGTCTCTTCCAGGTATTTCAGATGGCAAATATTGTCTTTCAGGGAATATTAAAATTCTCACCTGACCCCTTGGACTTTGCAATGCATGTTAGAATTTAACCAAGGTAAACCAGCTCCACTGTGAATAACCTTTATTAAAAAGATAAAGAAATTATTATCAACACAGAGCAGCCTGTTGAGACAAATAGAGACAGAAATGTTTTAATTAAAACCAGATTTGAAAAAGAATCAATAATAATAACATTCAAATAAGCAGAATTCTAATCAAACAGTACAAATGATCAGTTAAATTTATGAGACTGACACTACAAAGAACCCTTTTGATTCAGCTTTGTATTGATTTCACAGGATCAGCACAGCTTTCAAGTCTCACTGCTAAAAAAAAGGAGGAATCTTTAATATTTATATTACCTTCAGCAGGACAGAAATTTTAAAATGTCTTTATGTAGTACCATGAAATCCCTGCATTCATCTTAAGACAGTATTATCCCTTAAATAATTATGTAATGTTTCTGCTTTTGCAAATAATTATGGATATCACCATAATAACCAGCCCTGGATTTGGGAACACTTAATTGCTCTAGGGATCAGTTATCAGGGATTTCCAAACTACATTTTAACCACTTTTTAATAATTACTTTTTTAAACAGGACCCCTTTCAAAGACACCTGTCAACCATTCTTATGATACATCCAGAACAGTGTTATTGGTACCTGCACCCACACATAAAAATATAAAAAAAACCAAGAAGAAATGGAGATGTTTTGGAAAAAAAACAAAGGCAAAAATAAAAACTCCAAACTCCTTCTGCTTTATTTGTTGGGCTTGATCTTGTTACTCAGAAATTGCAACACAAGAGAGCTGCTTTTAAATCTCCCACATCTTCCTCCTGTGGGTGATTTATCCACTGAAAGTTCTGGGTGTGAAGGCAGAGGAGAGGAACCATGTGGCCTTTGCATCTATGGGCACATGATCTCTTTATTTGCCACTACAGGTTCTTGCCATGAAAACCTTTCTGGTTTTGGGTCAGTGAGGTGGGTTCAGTACCACAGGGGTTCTGCCAGTCCCATAATGGAATATATTTGCTCTAAGTGGCATTAGGAAATGTCATTGAATAATAATTACTTTCAAAATCAGCAAGATGAATCAGAGCTCCTTCTAAAACAGGCTTTGACTTCAATCTAAAATTCATGACCAAGAACTCTATTCATAATTCTCTCATAAAACTAATTGTACTAAACCACCAAGAGGTAAACTTTTAGATAAAATGTAATATATATATAAAAGCAGGAGTACCCTAAATACCCTTGAAATCTGGACCTACTCCTCAGTGCTTTGTCTCCTCAGCCTGATTCAAAGCTGGTCTGCACCAGAAATCCAATCTGACAGCACAGTCAGCACTCAGTTAGAACCCAGACATGTATTTATGCCTACAGACACCACTTGCCATACAGTGTTCACACTGCCTCTGCAGGTGTCAGCAGCCCCCAGCTGATCTGCCTGCCCCTGCAATCCAGGAACAGAACCTGTTACAACCCTTAAGAGTCACAGCAAGCTCACCAGAAGTGATGGGGACGTGCCCCAGAGGCTACCTTGTTCTTTGTACATTTGTTTGATCTGTTCAAGAAAATTAAAATTAAAAAATCCCCTCTGGCCTAATGTCTCCTGACTTCCTGCACTTTTCCTGCATTTTTTCACTGATCCACTGAGCCAAGAACACAAAGGAGACCTTAATACTGAAAGAGGCTTGTGAGAAAGATGAAGAGTTTATATCAGGACTTTTAAGGACAACAATTCAATTTGAATTGACAGAGAGTGGGTGTAGATTGGATATTAGGAAGACATTCTTTATTGCGAGGCACTGGAGCAGGTTTCCCAGGGAAGCTGTGGATGTCCAATTCCTGGAACTGTTCAAGGCCAGGGACAGGGCTTGGAGCAACCTGGTCTGGTGGAAGGTGTCCCTGCCCATGGCAGGGGGTGCAGCAAGATGATCTTTAAAGTCCCTTCCAACCCAAACCATTCCAGGATTCTATGACTCGGAGAAGAATTTCCTTTCAAACCTTTTCCATAAGCAAGGAGCTGGCACTTCCAATAAAGTTAAACTGGTCAAGCTGAATGAAGAGCTACTTCTCCCCAAGTTTAAAAGCACATCTCTGAATTCAGAGACTGAGAGCAGGAAAAAACAGAGGTTCATGATGGGGAACAAGGTAAAAATATATCTTAAAGCCACTTTCCCATTTCATTCTTACTGAAATTAACTTTGCCCAGCTCCTGAGTTCCCATGCCTGAAGGATGCACATGGATGTGTCCTGGCTTTTGGCAGCAGTTGTGTGGTGAAGGGATTCCCTTGGAGAGTTGCCAGTTTCTATCCATGCAGATATGCTTCCAGCCAGTGCTCCCCAGAATCCTTCAGGGAACTGCAGGAGCAGAAGGGAAAAAAAATCACTTAGGAGGAGACAGAGTACAACTTTGTGGAAGGCCAACTGTAGTTGTAGAAATAAAAGGGAAAGAAATGGATTTTAAATTGCATGGACACCTAATAGCAAAGTCTGACTGCTGGCAATGAGCTGAAAGGATTTGAGGAAGAGAAAAACAAGCTTTGAAACTCTAAAACTTTAGAGAAGTCTAAATAAACTCTAGGTTTGATCTCGCCATGGATATTGATTTGAAATGGCTGCCTGGGTGTCTCTTACCTGCCACCACAGAGCAAAATCATCTGGTTAATTGATACTTACTGCAAAATGTCTACAAAGGCTGTCAGCAAAGGCTTGGTTTTGTACTCAATGCCATGCTTGTCACAGAGGCTCTTCACCAGGGGAGCCACTTTCCAGTAGTTGTGCCGAGGCATGGTGGGGAACAGGCTGCACAACGGGATGAGGGAGAGTTATTGCAAGGCTTGGCTTTCCCCCTCTTCAAAACATCCCCCTGCCCCAGCTGATTCCCATTTTTTCCCCCAGGATGATACTCACTGATGCTCGATTTGGAAGTTCAGGTGCCCAGTGAACCAGTCATTGAACACAGACTGGTTCACATTGCAGGTTGCGTGGAGCTGGGAGGGAAAAAAACCAAAACCCTCAGATGACTTAGATTTTATTTTCCTGCAAGTCCAACAATTGAACCCCAGCAATCACTGCCCACCCTTATCTAGGCTAAAAATCAAGGCAAAGTCAGGGATTACAGCCATCATTGCCCTGAGGAATTCAACACAGTCTAGACTAGCCAGGCTGAGTTTTTCATCCTTGATAAAACAGGAAACTGCTGCAAACCCACTATGTGGGATGATACTGCTGGAGGCAGGATAGATGTGAGCAAAGCTCTCTTTACATGTTCTTTTTTTACCAGGCAATTTTTTCAGATTTATCTGTAGTAAACTTGCAGCCTGTAGGGTAAAAATCAAGGTATCCCACTTTGCTTCCCTTTACTTGGCCTAAAAAGGAAATTGGCTGTTATACCACCAGTACTTTTCTATAATAGGGAGGGGAAAGGGTTGTGAAAAATATGTCAAGGCCTTTCAGTGAATAAACAGTATTTTTAAAATCTAGATTTCTTGTTTTCCAACTAAAATTTTAAATGGCTTGAATATCACAGAAAGGTTTATTTAATGAATAGAGGTTTATTTAACCTCATTAACAGTAAATCTAAGAGAATAACAACACTGTCTTTGTTCTATAATTTTGACCAGCAGACCCAGTATTCCAGAAGAAAGAGTTTCTCACCTGAGTAGACACCCAGTCTTTGTTCTTGTCATAATCAATGTTCATTGGGATGTGGTTCATCTGGGACACCCAAATAAACCAGCTACTCTCAAGGTACCTGGGCAGATAAATCCAGAAACTCTTGTCATATCTCTAATCCCATCCAAATTTAACACTAAAACACTTGGCTAAGTCTCTTCTTAAGTGAAAAAGCACCTTTGGAATTTAAGAACCACTCAAGTTTTAGATGCAGATGTCCCTGAGCAGCCACCACCCCACCCCCCCCGAAGTTAAACTGTTTCTTCTGGACTGTTTATTTCTGAGAAAATCATTGTTTAAGTTTTCATTTCTTTCTTTTGAAGCTCAATATTGATGACAAATATTAATTGTGGGGCTCCAGAGCCCCATGTGCTTTGAGTTACCTGGACAGCCAGTAGTATATCATGAAGGTTTTAAATCCCATTAAAGGAACATACATGAGGCAAACTCGGATGTTGAAAGTCACAACCAGTATCAGGTCCTGTAAAAAACAAACAAACAAACAAAAAACCCTCAAACAAATCAGATGAAAATCAGCCTTTGTTGATCAAATGCCTCCATTCCATCCTCTCCCTTTTTCTTGAACTGCAGCTTAAAAAATGTTCTGATATGCAAATTTCTGATTTGTCAAGAGTATGCTCCATTCTGCATAACGTGGGTGTGTCCCTGAAATATTCCTACTTAACCATCAATAACTGCAGACAACAGCCCTGCCATCACACTCTGGGTCAGGGAATTTCCTGGTAATATTTATTTATCTGCTAAAAGGCTAAAAAGCCTCTTCTAAACTATTTTCTCTTGCTGCAGCAAGCCTAGAATCAGCCTTCTCTATTCTTCTTCTCTCTTACCCCCCAGCCACCTGACCAACAGGAGGTGAAGGTGGATACAGTGACATTTTTGGAGTTTTCCAGACAGGGAAGCAGCGCTTACCAGCCACTTTTTCCTCTTGATTGCAAAGTAGATTGTCGACAGCTGGAAGAAGGGTATGATGGCGAGTGGGGCCAGCACTGAAGGACAGAACAGAAAAAGATATTTGTAATTTCACTGCATCATAAAAATAATTCTTCTTTCCAGTAGAAGAAAAATTGCTTTAACTCATATTAACCTCCATGCACCCACATAATCTCTTCCTCTTTTCTTCTCATCACTTCTCCATTTCTTCCTCATCCCTGTATCTGTTTGATAAACCCCCATCTACATCTTATAACCCAAGCAGACACTTAAGGGGTAATTCCTCCTCATGGGACCTTCTTTAATGTGAAGGAATCTTCCTGGAGCTCTCACTTCAATGGGAATATCTTTAAAAACCCTTATTTTGTGGGGAAGGAGATGCACTTGTGGTTTTAGGGGATACTCACAGATGAAATACTTGTGCTGGTAATTGTAAGGCATGAACTTCTTCTTCTGCTTTCCAAGCTGAAAAATGAAGATATTGAAATATTCACAAAAAGCACAATTAAGTTTATTTCTTCACCTTGTAATTTTTCACCAATTGCACAAAAAGTTTCTTAACATCACCCCAAACGTTTGTGAATATAATTCTTCAAAAGACAAAATAATAAGAAGCTAAAGCAAACTACTTCCAGAGCTCCAGTCTGCACTGGATCAACACTGGAGCAACAAACAAACTGGATAAACAAAAGCCCTGAAATCCACTTTGCCTACCCATAGCGTGCCTAACACTGATCCTGCCAAAAAGCAGGAAGACATGAGAACTGATTTCCTACATTTTCACTCCACCAAACCCACTGGAGCACAGCCAGCCTGCTCTGGATGTTCGTGCTCCTACATGAGAGCTCTTTCCCAAAATCCCTGACAAAATCCAATGGTTTTCTATCAATAAGCATTTTGTATCTCCCATTGCAGGAATATGTCTGGGACAGCAGAGCTGGAATTTTCCATGTGCCTTGGAGAGTTTCATCAGCAGGTAAAAGAGAGAGGCATTATTTTAAGAGGCTGGTGTATCTCGCAACGAGGCTGTTTCATCACTAAATGATGAGTAAAAGGAATTACAAGGAAAAGGCAAACGAGCCCTTGCCTATCCTGATGCTGTCAGAAACCATCATGGAAGCAGGGAGGATCTATTCATAGCTTCTCTTTTTATGAAAGCCATAAAGTTCAGGATTAGGAAATCCTCTGCTGTGTTTGGTTCGGTGCGCGGCAGCTCCGCCGGCCCTGAAGGATTTGGGTGCCCAAGAGCTCCGGCAGCCAGGAGGATCCAGAGGGAACATCTGACTCACTACCACTCTCTAATGCAAGGGGCTGACTCACCCCTGGAGCTGCCTTAAGGTGCTTGCCCTTACTTAAGCACTGATTTTGAGCCTTTGTTTCTCAGGAGCAAGTGCCTCAGCATTGCAATAACAGAGATTTTCAGATCTTGGAAAACTTCAGGAATTATCATAAAATCCTAGAATAGTCTGGGTTGGAAGGGACCTTAAAAACCACTTTGTTTCAAGGCACAATCTGGGTTGTTATTATTCTATATTAGACACATATCAATACATATCACACTCTGGCTTTCTGTGAGTAAATCTGCTTTTGCAGACCTCCATGGAGAGGGTCTTTCCCAGGCTGAAGAGCAGAGGGTGCATGTTGAGGTCGGGGTCCTTGCGGAAGCAGTTGGGCTTGGCGTGGTGCTGGTTGTGCAGGTGGTTCCACCAGCTGGCAGGCAGCCCCTGCGTGGGGAAAAGGGCGACACCAGGGATTCAAACTGGAGCAATATCAAGGATCCCATCTCTATTTACTGCAATTCCCTCACAGGACACCTTGCCTGGATTTAGGGACACTCCCATCCATTGCTTAGTCCCAATCAGCCCCAGAGAACATTCCCACCACTACCTTCAGCATGTTTATCACAACGATCTGCAGGAGACGATTCCACCTGGGCTTCCTGAAGACAGAGCAGTGCCCCAGATCGTGCTGGAACCAGCCCATCTGGATCTGGGAGACAAAAGGATCACTGAGGAAAGAGAACTGCTTCATTGCAATAATTTCCCTTGTGAGTCTCTATCTTCATAGTGTGAGTTTCATCCTCCTTCTGATGTGTCAGGAGACACTCATAGGGCTGGGAACTTCCATCCACGCCACTGTCCACTACAGCTGCTCAATTCCAGATATTAGTTTCATCAGGAATATTACAGGGAAAGCAGTGAAGCATCACTGCATAACTTCACTGTCACAGCATGGAATTGTGTTGCTACCATCACAATTAATTTCCAAGTAACCAGCCACAGCAAGTCTGTGGCTTCACTGCATTCCACATTTCCATGGAAATACAAGACTGCTCTTTGAGGGATATCTGCCTTAGCAGATATTAGGCAATTAAAACAGATTAATTAAATAAATTAGCTCATTTGCACCTGCTCCAGGGGGACCTGAGCAAACTTAAGCATTCAGGGTTAATAAGAAAATCTCGTGTTCCTCCCTCCACCACACCCTTCAATTTCTCCCATCTAAGTGCCACAAATCCCTACACCCACACTGAAATTGATCCTTTGCTTATATGGCTGAATTTACTAATCCAGCAGAAAACTATTCAGGGCTAGAGGGGACTCAAGAAACCAAAAAATACCAGAGCCATCTGACAGAAGAAACAGAGAGCCAAAAGTGCAGGTGAGAATGAAATATTCCTTCTTTTTGTTGGGGTAAGTGATTAAATCAGCTCATCCCATCTTGTGAAAGAGCCAGTTCCACAAGAACCCCACCATCCCGAGGGAGCAGCCTGTCAGCAAAATGAGATCTGCTGCAGGCAACAAAAATTGTGACGTAGAACGTGCCTGTCATCTTCAGCCAGATAATGGGATCTAAGGAGAGGCAATGCCTGGGATGGGAGCATTCCATTAATCCTCTCCACCTGGAGGAGCCAAGGGCGTCTGCAGCATTGAGCACCCGTCAGCAGTTTACCTGGGCAGTGGTGAAGAACGCCATGCCAGCCAGGAAAGGCACCAGGGATACGCCGAAGTACCAGAGCACGAGCCAGGATGCAGCATCCAGCACCAGGAGGTGAAGGAAAATCAGGAAGAAGAAGAAGTAATTGGGCCTCAGAAGTCCCATCTTCTCAATGGTGCAGCGCAGCTCACGAAAATCCTCCAAGAGGGATTTCTGTGGGTAAAGTGAATATTAATGCACTATTTACTTTGAAAATGTCACAGAGCAGAGCCAGGAACCCCAAAACAGCCACAGAAGTTTGAGATGTCTGTCAGTAGGGGCTCTGTGCCAAAACAAGCATGAAGTCAACAGACTTTGCTTTGATTCTGAGACACCCCAGCGAGGAGAAAAGAGCAAGATTTGGGGCTCTGGAGCTCGTTCCTTGCTCCCAGGGGTGGATTTAGTGATGCTGGGACAGTCACATTTCCATGCCTGCCTGTCACCACCCACAGCATCAGGCGTGCTCCCTCAGAGGCCATTCCTGCTACCTCTCCTGTTTTCCTTCTCCTTCCATGCTGAACCCCGAGCCATTCCCACCACTGGAATCTAGGGCACTCACCTTTTTATTGGACTCAAAGCTGGGTTGATCAGGTGCCAGCTCCCCAATCAGCAGAGATTTCAGGTACTTTTTCACCAGGCTCTTGTCATTGTGGAATGCCACGAAGGCATCCTGAGGGACACAAAGGGAGGGAGTGAGAGAGGGCACGTGACCGAACACCAAAGCTGAGCCTCTCATTCCCCAGGTCTGGATTATAACACAAAATCCTGCTCCCCTTGCCCATTTTGTCTGTCCTGTCACTCTTTCCTATTGACTGGAGCTTGGCCCAAGGAAGCTGGAGGAGTTTCAAGCACCCAGATTTCATAAAAGCCCCTGGGCGAGGCTGGTAATAAACATGAAAAGGTTTGATGAAAAACCCTCTGCAGAGGGAAACCTGTTCCTTCATCTGCTTGTTTCAGCACAGTCTGTCCCTAGAAGGCTCCAGCCAGCAGCCCTGCCCTATGGACGGGACCCAGGAGCAGGGAATGAGGTGTGTCTCTGCCATGCTTGGGATCAGACTTTGAAATCCTGTCTGTGCAACACTGAGGCCATACAAAATAGATGCTGAAGCCTCATATTCAGCAGCACAAACTGGGTGTCTCTTACAGTTCCCTCCCAATTTCCAGAACAGGTTGATGTTTTGGGGATGTGGGAACACTAATGACACAAAAGTTCCTGTCCAAGAACCATTTCAAATCACAGTTTCAAATCAAATATAAACAATAAGAAAAGGATGAGATTCCAGATAAATCAAAACTCTTCTTTAGCTCATGTCCTCAGTGGATTTTCCAGAAGAAAGGTAAAGAGGCTGGCCATACCCTTTTTTCTTCCAGAAAGAGCAGATAGAACAAAATCCTCATTTTGAACAGTCTGGTTTTGCTGATTTTGGCTCTGAAAATCAGCAGGGATGAGCACAACCCAAATATTCTGCACAGGTCTGGTCAGGATCAAATCCCTGGAAGAGGACAGAGGACTTCCTTGGAGCCTCTTGGCTGGAGACAGTCTCTCTCTGAGTACTGTAGTCTAGATAAAGTCAGAACAGGGTGACTTTTTGGACACTTGGGCTTTTCTACAGACATCTAGTGACCCTTTGTCACAGTGACAAATGAACAACCCTGTCCAGACCAAGAGGACTGGGGAAATCTTTCCATCATGATTTTGTGCCCCTCATCCTCCAGGTCCTTATACATTTTTATATCCCTCCATCTTGCCAGGAAATCTGATTTAATCCATAAGTATCTATACTGCAGTTTGGAAACAGGAACCAGAATCCTTTCAAGCAGAAACTCCTATCCATGAGATCAGTATCACAGATTCTTATCACTGAAAGCCTTTAAGTCCTGCCTGTTTTTTCTCCTCCCTGGTCTTAGGCCCTGATTAGCATCTTACTAACTTTAAGATTAAGTTTAGAGATTAACTTCAAGAACTATCACCTACAATGCACACAACTCACAACATTTGACATCAGTTAAATGCTCTGCAATGGTCTTGCCTTGTATTTTCAAAATAATCCTCCCAGAGGAAGAAAATTCTCACTATGTATAGACTATTATGAGCTCTAGAGCAGTCAAGAGTTGTTGGGGAAAAAAAATCCTGGATTCTGGTTTTAGGTAAAGTCCTGCACCAGTAATTTTTTGAGACACCTTCCAGTCCTGCTTTTCTATGTGGATTTCCTAGACTAAGAAAGCAGCACTTTAAAAGCAAAAAGGATTAGCAAGGTCAAGACAGAAAGTGTTGTTAGGATGCAAAACAAACCCACATTGAACCCACAATTTTGGCTACTTGTTGTGGTCCTGTCTTCAAAGAGATATAGTACACCTAGAGGTTTGAAAATACCTTTAAGATCAAGTAAAATCAGATTGTAATTATTGCTACAATAAAAGCAAGTAAGATCAAAGGTCATTTTTTAAACCCATTCACTGCGGTTAAAGCCCCTGGGTGTCTATAAATACAATGATGTAAAGTGCAGGTCCTTTCAGGAGCTGGGGAAACATAGCTTGGGGACAAATCATTCCATGCATTCTGCATTCCTTGACTCCTTCTGTAAAGTCCAGTGGCAGAAAGTGCAGGAAATAGCACCAGGATCTCAGGGCTGGCCTATGCTCTGAAGGTCAGTGAACTTGGGAGAAACCAAACAAGACTCAAACCTCTCCTTTTGCTTCCTCTGAGATCACCAGGTGTTTTTCTGCCCCAGTTCCAAGCAGGGTGCAAGGTATGAAATGGGAAAAGTAACTGATCTGGTCCATTTTGGGCTGGGAGTTAGAAGTGCTATCCCATTCCACACGCTGAAACATGAGGAATTAAGACAGGCTAAGCAACTTTCTTCAAGTCAGAAAGTCTTGTCGTGACAAGAATTAAATCTCCCACATCACAAGTTTATGCCCATGTTTCCAATGCCCAGATTTCTGCCTATTCAGAAATTCAGCATCTCCTTTCAGCATAGTCTGGGAGATCTGCTTAGAATTTATTATTCCTGCCAAAAAGCACCAAATGATTTTAGATAAATCCTCTAGATCAAAGATTTTTGCAGGAATCCCTGGAAGATCTGTGTTCAAATATATTTGTAGGACTTTTCCTCATGTCCTGCAGCCCAAGGTCATCATGCTGCTTTCTCAGTGCTCTCTCTGACCAAGCACAGCGATGACCACCACCAGACAGGATTCCCCACCACGTCCTCCTTCCCTGCCACTGGAAGCACCTTCCTCCACTGCTTTCCCAGCTCTTACCGTGGCATCCTGCCCGGCATAGTGGCTGATAACCCGGCTGCCCCCAGGATGTCTCTTGGAAAACTGGCTGACATCATAAACCTTCCTGTCAACCACCAGCCACTGCTCCCGGCCCTGCCCGCGGCCGTTGCGGATCCCGATATCTTCCCAGGTGAAAAGCTGTGGAAAGGCTGGAACAGGTCCCGTCTCCTTCTCGCTGGGGCCAGTCTGTGGAGCCATCCGTGCTGGGATTCTCCAGCGCCAGCTCCCTGTCCAGGCTGAGGGTGGCCCATGCTGGCCTGCCCGTTATACAGCCCCACTCCAAGCCACTCCCTGTGCTTCCAAGGGCTGGTTGGCTCTCCTCACCCAAACACACCCATCCCACGTTCCCTCCTCTTCCAGACGCTTGGACACGCCCGTGAGGAAAAGCCCTGCTCCTTCTTGTCCTTTCTGAGCTGCCTTTGCAAGGTCTGACTGCTCCACTGAACACAAACAGCAATAAAGACAGAAATTTGGGAAGACCACCTGTTACCTCTAAATGGCCTCATCACCACCCAAACCCTTCAGGTTGTTCTTGGTCTTTGAAATTTTCTTGACTCTGGCATGCCAAATTAATATGCCTTTCTTAACTAAAAAATTGATTAAAATACCACCAGATCAGAGTAAAGAAAGAATGCATTAAGAAAGCATTCTTTGTTTCCAGTTAATTTAGCTTCTATATTGACAATACTTTGCATATAGTTGGTTTCAGAGTTTCTTGTATGTTCCTGAGGCCATGCAACCACCTAATTGTTCAAGTCATTCATTCATTCATAAGTCTATAACATTCAAATATTTTGTAGTAATAGCAGTAGTAATATTAGTGATAAAAATAACAACAATAATAATAATAACAATAATAATAGCAGTAACTGTTAACACCAACTTTGGCCATAAATTCAGAAGCCTATGCTTAAAGGCAATGTTGACATAACTAACTTTACTTAAACACTACTCCTGCAGAAACCAAGCCTAAGCATCTCTGATATTGTGAAGGTCTGCTGGGCAATAAAGAGGTAAAGAATTCTCAGCTGTAATAAAATGCAGTGACAAGGCAATGCCAAGTTTCCTATGAACTCACATCAATTTTGCAGAAAAAATTAAGCAATAGAAATTAAAAATTGTCCTACTTGAGATCTAGCAGTGTCTTAATCCTGGTTGGGTTTTTTTAAATCCAAAATTCCAAGCCTTGGGTGCTTTTGAGGAAGGTACAAGCAGCAGGCAGACATGGTGCAGTCTGGGGTGGTACAGATAGGGTATTTCCATCATACCCCTCTGTAATGCAATACTGTGTTAAATCCTGACTTTTCACCCTTGCCCCAAATGTTCTATTTATGTTTCTGAATTTCTTAGGTCTATAACCCCAGATGTGGCCTGCAGTGATGCCCAGTCCCTGCCTGAAGCCAGGCAGCTGAAGTTCTCAGCTATCTCTCATGACAATGAGCTTCCCAGACAATTCACACCCTGGGATTCCAAGAAAACTGCTTGTTGTGTGAGCTCCCAGTTCTGAGAAGGACTGAAAACACTCAGGTGAAGTTGCAGACTCCAGGCAGGACAGAGAGATAAAGGTAGATAAAAATGCCAAACTACTTTCTTGACCAAGGCACCTTAGCAGAGTCAGGCGTTTTCCCTGTCTGCCAAGCACAGAGTGGGCAGTTTTCTGGCTGACATAGAACTCCATATTATGCAAGTCTAATTCTTCAAATCATGTAGCATCTTGCAAATTAATCAGTCAAGCCCCAAACTGCCATTTAAACTGTTTGACATGTGGCAATTGGTGAACCACCCAAAGTAAAAAGAGAAATGTAACTGCTGCTATTCATTGGACAGTGATAAAAGAATGGGAGGAATAATTTCTATCCTGCTGTCACATTGTATTTTGTAACTCTTTATCTTGCTCTAAATAAAGGCTGAGAGTGTCCACGCTAATGATGTGTTCATGATCTATGTACATGTACAGAGTCTTACCTAAATCAATGTTCAGTACTTGAGGTGGTGGCAATAAAATATGCAACAGTTTGCGCAATTTCGTGCAGATGTGGGGTTTTGTGCACATGTGAAAATATCAAGTTACTCCATAGCTGGCTGAAAGTACAAAAAATCCTTCCCATGGCCCTATATTCAGACTTGAACATGTCTGAAAAGGAGGAGATAAAAATGTGGGGTTTGGTTTCGATCCTCGAGAAGATGCAGGATAAAGAGCCAGGAAAGTATTGGAGTGAACAAATAAGGGATGTCTCTGTCTATACCCACAGTCAGCAGCTGTGACTTTCACTGTTAACACTGTAGGTGCCAGCATCACCAAACTGGTGGAATTAAGTTTGGGAACTCTAAGATGATTGTCCTCTGCATTAACAGAGTGTATAAATATTTATTGTCCGAATTTATTCAGCATCAGATCCCATCCAGAGGAGCCTGTAACACCCACTGATATTCTGTTAAATTAAAATAAAATCCCTTCCCAATGTGAAAGCAGAAGCTGCCTCTATCTATATTATCCGGGTTACCAAATTGATTCCAGAAGCTCAGACAGTGAAAGGCATGGTCCTGCTCACCCAGAACAAGGATTGAGAAACCTGTTAAAGTGAATTTACACCACACTCGGTGTTCTGCAACCGCTGCCCACACACCTGCCAAGAAGCGTGTCCTGCGCTCCCGGGAGCTGGCACACGTGCACAGGGCTGCTCCCCAGCCCTGCTCCCGTGACTCAGAGCCTCCTTGCTCAGGCTCCTGACAGTTTCCCAGATTTCCAGAAGGACACTACGTGACTGCTCAGCTGGCAGTTGCTGCCTCAGCCCTTTTATTGTCTGGCACGTAAATGTTTGCAGCTTACACTTAATCCACTGGAGATAAATAAATAAATAAATCCAAAAATAAATCTGGTACTGAGATACCCCAGAACATTTGGAAGTGGTTGATGACCTTAGAGGTTTTTCCAGCAAGAATTAATGATTCTTGTTTCTAAGAAAATCTTCTTTTCCAGAGAGGATCTTTAGGTTCTGAGTAGTACTGTCTTACTTTTATACAGGGTTTTCATAGAACCTTGCAATTGGGAACACCTCCCAGGTGGGGGTCCCAGGCAAAACTGGGTGCAGAATCTCTACTTTATGAAGTGTAGAGCCTCACTAGAGTTGTTAGATAGAAGATAAACAGTTTTGGGTTGAACAGGTCTCCAGAATTAGGTGCCAACAGTGGGGAAAGCTGGAAAAGTGTGACCTTGGATGAGCATCAACAAGTACACCTGCCCTTCCTTCTGGAAGCAGAGCTGAGCCTCTCTGACCTGTCCTGGCTGCTCTGGAGCCATGGAACAGCATCTTTGATCAAAGCAGAGATGATCTGAGATGTCTCTGCATCAGAAGGCAGGTAATTTATATAACCTAATTTATATAACATAGTTTATATAACATTTATACCTAAAATAATACCACCTAATTTATATAACATAACTATGCTTTGAAGAGTTTGTCCTCAAGGGAGTCTGGAATGGAGCTCACAGGATTGTGGAGGGTTCAGGAATGCTCTGCCCTACAGTGGCTCCAAGGAAATTACCTGCATCCATCCACAGTCAGCACACACATTCCTGTGCACAGTCTGTTTTTCTTCCTGGATTTCATGGACTCTTCTTCAAGGCTCCCTCTTCTATGACTGTGATGTGCCTCTTCCCAAACACAGCCAGGAAATAGAAATGATTAAAATTATTTTATCTCCAGAACAAAACTTAATGGGGAATCCATAATTCAAGAAAAAGCTGCATTCAGAAAGATCTTTGCAATCTTTTCAAGTGATAAAAAACTTGCACAGTTGGCAAAATTTTGTTTTGGAAAGGAAAAAGACTCTAGTAATTTACTGCTTTTGGATAAAAACATTATAAGGCATCATGTCAGTCAGGAGGAGAAAAGGACCAGGTTTTCCCTTTTTTTAGTATATTCTGGGTTGATGAAATATCACCCTGCACCTCAGATAGAGCTGCTTACCAGCAATACCATGTCCCATGAAATAGAAAGAGAAACCTAAAGCAAAACCAAAGGGTTTTTTTATAGACAGAGTCAAGTTTGTAATGGAGATCCTGCCTTGAGGGATTTAATTTGCTCAGATATATAACATTTTTATTAATTTCGTTTCATTCCTTAGTCCAGATGTCAATAATAAATTAACACAGGGTTTTTTTCTCTGTGAAAACCATCTTCACACCCTTTGCAAAAGAGGAAAAAAAACACCTGGGAAAGCCACACCTTCCCTCCCAGCTTTTGGTTGCAGTTTATGAGTAAACAATAAAACCCTGAGATGCTAATTAGAATGAGAGCTAAAATTAGGCTCTGTAATAAGCCCTGTGAACCTTCTCATCTAAATCTCCCCACAGAACATTAAATTGCATTAAAACACATATTATATAAATTTTTTTGGAACTCCTATGAAATAAACCCTTTGCACCCTTCAGCTTCATGAAAGAATCAGAAGAATGAAGAATCAGAATCCCAGGGGCTCTTTTGTGGCTTTGAGATCTAAATTAAGCTGATCGAAAGTCATAAATTCTGTAACTCTCCTCTCCCAAGTGCTCTATATTGTTACAAAGAATAAGACATAACAGGATCCAAGTCAAAATTGTTAAATGCCCGTAACAAACCCATTTTATTTTCTCACTGTTGTGTATTTGTGGTTGGTTTTTTTTCAGACCAGGCAGCATTTTTGTTGCATTTCCTGTGCCCAGTGCAGAGCACCCACTGCTTACAAACTTGTGAATGCTCTGGCTGCCTGAAACTGGGCATCCACAGAAGAGAAACTCCACAAAAGGTGCCCATGCTCGAAAGTTTAATACTTGGTTTGTGCAACCTTAATTAGGAACAAGGTGGCCTAAGCCAGGATTAAAACACCCACGGTGGCTCCATGGCCTACACTCAGAGCACCTTCCTCTCTCTGACCTTCTTGTGGGCCTTGGGCCACCTTCCAGCCTCTGCAATAAACGTGGCACAGCCAATATTTGGCCATAATTCCTTCCCTGGCATTCACCATCTGCCTCTGTCCTTCCTCAGCCACATATTTTGGGGTGTATTCTTAGGGCAATGTAAATATTTTGCCTCAGAGATGTCCCTCATCCTTAAACTTCTACATCCTACCCTGCCTGCAAGGGCACCACTCATAGTTTCCATATTTTGTTTCTTCTTTTGCAAAATTTAATTTTCCTTTGACACTTTAGCAATTAC